ATTGAGAGCAGCTTCACATGCTCATGCTTTCATTCTGTAACTTGCACAGAGTTATGTGTGCAGCCTCTTTAGCACATTAATTGGTAGCAGTTCTGGGATGGGGGTTGGGCAACGCTTGGGTTTGTTCTGCTGTGTGCCCCTATTATTTTCTCCACAGGCAGTTTAGTGCTTTCCAACTACCTCTGAAGCATCAGCAGTTTTGGCCTCATCGTGCACAGAGGGGAATACTTTGAAATGAGGTGCAGGGGGACTCTCTGCAGGAAGCTTTTATGCAACTCTAATTTTAGAGAACAGTTGTTTTTACAGATGCCCATTTCTCTCAGACAGTTTTATCTGTTTGATGATCGCGCCTCTTCTCTGGCAGACTATCGTTTAATACAGCTCCAACTCACATAAGTCAAGATTTAAAACTCTGATTCGGCAGCTGTATTGCTAACGGAGATTAAATCTTTTCCAGTGCTCTCTTTTTTTCTGCCGGGGGCTTAGAAAACATGGAATTAGCATCATGTCCCAGAGTGCCTTGCAGCAGCAGCTGTGGGGAACAGGTGTGTGTGGTGAGCACATGGTGAGGGTGATGAGGTCTGCCACATGTTAAATGCATAAAACACAACATTAGAGTCTAACCAGCGCAGAGACAGACAGCAAGAGATGCTTACCTCTGTCGAACCTATGTTTTTGTGTCTCTGTTATAAGAGTAGAGGAAACTAGGAGATACATCTGGAGGAAGAGACAGTGGAAAAAAAATGTGAAAAGGAAAAAAAAGGTGCCAGTTAAGTATCTTTTTGACGTGGGCTAGATGAAGGAGAAATTTGAATCTCTCACTTCAGGGCAGGATCACACAGTGGGATTTCAATAAATGAGTGAGTGCTGTGCCCAAATACTGAGCCAAAGCTGCCAGACGGCACATCCAGCCCTCTCTCCCTTTCTCTCCCTCAGCCTTTTTCTCAAGTCACTTTCTGTAACTTGCTGTGAAATTCCAAGGAGACGTCAGGAAGAGAAGAATCAGGAGGCAGACATTTGGTTTTTATGTGCACTAAAGCCAGCTACTCAAAGGCAAAACGGCATGTTTTAACGATTATTTTTCTTGCAGGAGAGATTTGATTTCTCCTTGTTGTGTCTGTTGTCCTTTAACGCTCCAGTTTCCTCCCAACTTGACAAATGTCATCTTTGTTAAGTCTAACCCCACGCAGATGACAGGATGAGGCCTTGGTTTATCAAACTGCAGAAGAGCACACATTGGTTTCCATGGCAATAAAGCCTGCTGGCGTTCTTGGGCCTCAATGGCCCATGGGCATTGGCCAAATGCAAGTTAGATAAAGCTCCTTACCCTGGGAAAAATCATGCCCTCTCCTGATTTATGATAGCTGTGAAAACTTCAAAATTCTCTCCCAGACGTGTCAACAAACATCACAGCACAGGTTCAGCTATGCGTGTGCTCATGTGCAAAGATCCAACAGGCCTGTTTGACACCTTGTTAAGGTTTTCCTCTCCTTCCTCCTGCCCTCTCTATTCTTGCACATCCATGCCTCTGTGGCCCTTTGGGCCTTGGGCACTGACCCCAGAACTCTGAGGATCACTCAAAGGAGCCTCCTAACCACCACAACACTCTGGGAACATTTGGCCTCCAGATTTTCTTTTTTCCCAAGGTTTCCCCATGAACCTCCTTTTAAAGCTTATCTTGCATGTGGATATGTTACCAGTGTTTCACCTGCACTGTAATGTTACTGTTATTGTAGGCTCTAATGATAGATATCATACACAACTTCGTCACAACAGAATCACAGACTTACAGGACTGGGCATGGACCTAAAAACAAAACCGCATTACTTGTCCCAGTGACAAGTAGTGTAACAAATGACTAATCCGATTTGATTTGATTTATTTATTTCGAACAAAAAATAGAATATATTGTGGGGAAAAAAACTACAAAATAGAGACAAATGAGAAATCATATACAGACTTAGGGTGAGAAATATAAATATAAAACATTTCATGTCTGAAAAGGACTAGGAAGAAGCAACATGCTTGTCTAGTCCTAACCCCAATGTAATCCATCACTAAGCAGACCACTACAGAAATACACTCTCCTCACAATTGATCAACCACACATTTACACCACTGCACCCAGTGCATTCCACAAAATCACCCCACAAACTGATATACACATACTTTTGAAAGTGGTGCGAAAACACCATTGTTTCAGATTTAATTAAATTTTTACCTCTTAGATTGTACCCCCACTCTGTGTCCAGATAGTAAGTTATTCCTTGCTTTGTACATGACTACATGACTACATCTACTAGATTCAGAAATTTCAGTTTATGTGACTTCAAAAACAGGTTATTAGTGTGTTTCCAATATCTAACACTGTATAAAATTGTTATGGGTCTTTTTTGCAGTATAGATAATGGTTGTTAATTTCAGTAATAATACTACAGTTACCCTCAAATCATTGAAGTTGCTACAACTTTACTTTCACAACAAAAAAAAAAATTCAACAATCGATCATATTCCCGGATTCATTTTCGCAGTCATCGCACATGCACGTCACACAGCAGCAAGCTAGCTTGGAAGATGGAAAGATTATTGTTCTAGGTAGCTGTACTCAGACTCTCTCTACTGCAAAAAAAAAAACACAACCTCAAAACTCCTGAGACACCTACTACGACCGGCAGGCTACAGAAGATGGCTGTATCCCTACAATGGCGAAGCAACCAAAACTAGGTTGGCTGCATGCTACAAAAAACTAATGAAGCTTGTGGTTGAATATGTGGTAGATGAAATGTTGCATGTATCCATGACTGAGTCTCCATCTTTCAGACAGATCCTCAGGTGAATAGCGGTCACAGACAACAGGAGACTCCCAGGTCAAATTCATTTGCAAGCTATGTAGCGTTAGCGATGCTTATCAGAGATCAACCTGATATTCACACAGAGGCTCACGTGCAAAGTTTGATTTTGAGGAGAAAGGACATAATTATCACTTCTGTGGGGAGTAGTGTAGCAAATTATTGCTAGCTGGGAGTAATAGCCAAAGTTATGATATTACTTTTGAAAAGAGTCATGAGTAATACATTACATTTTTTGTGTGATGAGCCCAACATTGCTTTACAGTTACAAGTCTCTTTTAAGTCTCCATTCAGTCATACACCTGATAATTCAGGGGTCTATTAACCTCTACATTACAGGTTTTATGTCTTACCTACACCATGACAAAAGTCCAAAGGACCTGTGTCCCTGTGTCTAATCTGCCAAAGTACTCCACAATAACCATGAGAACAGACTCTCCTGTAAGATCCAGGAATGCACTGTTGCATATCAATGACCCACATCAACAGAGAAAGACAGAGAGAGAGGGAGAGAGAGACAACAAAAAGAGGATAAAAGGGCCCCTTCCTAACACAGTCACACACACACACACACACACACAAACACACTACAAACACACAGAGGCAGGCAAGTCCGTGAAATATGACAGCCCCACGGTGAAGAAGGTGGGGGTTAGGGAAGCCATATTGTAACAATCTTATTCTGTGGTCATTAATCGTATCCTGCTGTTTCAGCCTCCCCGACCGTGTGCGCTGAGCGTATGTCAAACACATTTCCCCTCTCTCGGTGGGCGCACTCCCAGCCAGCTCTAATGCTGCACAAAGACACAAACCCTGAGAGCTCCTGAAGGCAGACAGGCCAGATAATCTCCCCCTCGGACTCCAGCGCCAAGTCCAGAGCCAGCCATAAAGACACGGAGAGACACAGGCCCACAGGGAACGTCCTCTGGCCTGGCTGCCGCTGCCGATGCTACCACACTACATTCTCAACAAAAGCCCTGAAAAATCACATATATTGTGAATGAGAAGGGAATATTTCAGCAAACCTCTTTATCTCTGTCCCTGCTGGCGTCTTGTCTAAAAGTTGTGAAATGCTACTGTTTAAATGTACATGGCCTCACTGTTGCTTTTTTACCACATGGCTTTCCATTAGTGGGTTCCAAATAACAGTGCAGATGGCTTAGTTCAACTATCTGTCCTAGGTAGGCTTATATGATCAGTACAAAGGGACACTTTAATGTGACATTGGGTTGGAATCGAGAACAAAAGTAATCATTCGAGATACGCTCCTGTTATATAACTGATTGCAGTTTCAGTATTCCACGGCAATCTGAAAATCTGTCCATTGATAAACATAGACAATTTCTGGGCAGCCATGGGTATTTGGCAGCAGCAAAGTGGTCTTCCCTGTCGTCCTTTTTATCCATCTCTCCCTCCATACTGCCTGTCTTGCTCCCTCTTTCCCCCTCCTGCTGTGAGCGGCCTCATTAGGGAAGTGATAATGTAACCCCTCCGTTTCATCAAGCGCTGCCATTTGTCATTATGACTGACAAGTGCCGAGGTGGGCCAACTGAGTGACAGGAAGTAAGGCCTCCCATTGGCCATCTGATAGTTTTATCTATCGTCCCACCTTTCTCTTGCTTTTCTCTTTAACAATGCCTCGGCACATAAAGAAACACAGCCTTAAAAATGATAAAACGCCACCGCTTTGCGCTGTCACTGTAAATGCTATCAAATATGAACACATAAAAAGTATTGCTATCATCAATCACTCTCTATATCTCCAAATTGTAAGTGGGTCTACATATGTCTCAAACTGCAACTGAGGCCTGTTGCCAGAAACCTGAGAAGTCTCTTGACAAGTGGAGTCTCCAGAGCAATGGAAAATCAGTCCGAAACGCCATCAATCACGGCACAGGAGATTGGTTGAAAGACCGGCTTTTCACTAACAGTCTGGTCTGAGATCCTGACAAGATAATAGATTGTGAAGCTGCCAGAATGGCTTGACTGAAGAGACGTATCGATCGTAAATCAAAGTTTTTCCAGACAGTGTTGCTACTGTAAGTGATATATTGGTATCACTATTAAAAGAAAAACACTTTTTATGGCTTCCATTAGAGCTGTGGAAGTGGGTCATTATGCAGGCCGGAGCACAGGTTATTTTTATCTTACCAGAAAACCTGGTCTCATGTGTCATCCCTAGCTTGCACCACTTCGATCAGCTGCTTCTCTTTCCTCTGGAGCTACCAAAATATTCAGAAACTCAAGGGCTGGGCAGCAGCCTACAAGGGAAACAAAAGAAGGCTTGTAAGGATAAACGTTACAATCACAGCAAAGATAAAATGATAATCTGAGTGTGATGGCAACAAGTGAGCGCACAAGAAACACTCCTAGCATAAAGACACACTTAACATGATCAAATTAGTTTACCTCTGGCCGAGGGATGAATGTTAAAAGCTGAATATGCTTTGACAGAACCCTTGACCTCTGGGTCTTAGTTGTGGTGGGCGCCCGTCAGTGAGGACAGGAGAGGGGTGATTGATTGGGTCCCTGTCAGCAGGCTCAGCTGGACATCCTAGAAAGATCTCCCCATCCATCAGATCATCCAGACCCAGGAGGAGCTACTTCCAGATGGGCAGCATTGTTCCCAGGCCACCCTGGCAGACGCCTTGAAGACTCTGCAAGACCCAAAATGTTACTGACAGCAGCCGCAGTCAGCCCGAAACCTTTGCATCTGTGCCCGTGTGTCTGCACGCTTCGCAAGATGTAGCACACACCCAACCTAATCGATAGCATACACCGGACGGGAGTTGCAGAAACAATAGCTGTCATTACAATCACTAGCCATAGCTCAGCGATCATAGACAGAGTGGAGATAAGAGGTTGCAGTGATGGTGCGCTGGCAGCGATCACTGTGTCTAGTGCCTAGTGAGGCGTATCATGGAGACTTAATTGTGGTGCAAGGCCTAATTGCATGGTCAGGACAGGGGGTAATGAGTTAATCCCAAGCCAGTCATCCATGATGAGGAGAAGCAAGTCCTCAGCACAGTAATTACACTCCTGCTCATCAACCTCTAAGCTTCGGGACACGGAAGTGCGGGATGTGTTAGATATTTGATCATCTTGTAAAAAGGTTTGATAACAGGTTGAGCATTTGTTTGTGGTGAAAGAATTAAGCAACAGTCCTCACAGCATCCACCAGCCAACCCGGGGAGGCCAGAAGTTCAGTCAGTGATTTGGAAGACCAGGAGTACTTGCCAGGTTGCGAGCCCTGCTGACAGATTTGAATGTATTTTCTAGGAAGGACTATTCAGTAGAAGAGGACCGGGGAGATATTTAGGGGAATGGGTGGGGATATATGTGATCCCATGGCCCCACTATGACAGGCGTCACGCCACCCTCCACGTAATGATCTCTTCCATATGGACCCAGGAATGGTCAGTCTGTGTTTACACGAGCTGATCCCCAAAACGTGTCCCGAGACTCGTTCTCTCCTTCTCTGGCACTGCAGCGCGGGAGGAGAGCAGACGAAAGGCGCTTGGGCAATCAGGACACCCCCTACCGAAGGTCCATTAACTTAGGCTGCACAGCGGCACCAAGCAGAGCAGCAACCTGCCAAAAACACCCCCCAAATCCACGTGCACTTACACATGTACACTTAAACACACACCTAGCACTGTTAAAGATTACACCCATCATATTTTCATAATTGTTGGAGGCACCTGAAGTCAAGGCCAAGTCAACACATTTCGCCTGGCAGCTTGTGAAAAGGGCCATTTATGTGGCGCGCATATCAAAAGCACTTCATCTGTGTTTGCTTCAGAAAATTGAAGAAAATATCAAGGTGTCGCATTAAGATGGCATCCTTACAGAATCTGAGCTTCTTTGTCAACCTTGGACTGGTGAAGGTGTCAAATGATTTTAACAAGGTGGAAGTCTTAAGTCTCTTAAGTTTCACTGCCAAACTAAATCCTGGCAGCTGGACTTCAGACTGGTACTGGTCACTGCAACGGTACTTACAACCTCCTGCTCTGAAAGCAAAGGTGAAATGTGGAACAGTTCAGACTGTTTGGTCCTTTGCAGCCAGTGTACATAGAAAGGTGTAATAAGCAGTCCAGGGGATTGACCACAGTGGTATGAGACGATCTCACTCAAACTCAATATAAATGAGACGGTGATCATTTCTCTGGTATACCTTCTATATGTTCGGACTCATCATCAGCATAGAGAGAGGTCTCCCTGATAGCCTCTCCTCTATTCCAAACACCAATTTACCTTCAGAGTATAAACCCCTCTGTGGATGTTTGGAGAAGGGGGCTCTCCCCATAGTCTACTTAAATAACCACTTCCCCTGGAATGAAAACAGATCCATTATAGGACACTGGTATCTCCTCTCCTACTGAGGCACCTCTCTCAGTCCTGACTGAGTTCAGGGTCTGGGCTTAGCGATGGGCGCTGTGATGGCGGAAAACTGCCCCTTCTCTGTTGACTCAGAGCTGGAAGTGAGTAAGCTGAACTCAGGCCTTGTCTCACTAGGGACCGGCCGCACCCTGCTAATGACATCCAGCCCTTGACATTCTTAAAAAGTCTCTGGTTATTAAGGAAAACAAACAAGGACATCAGACTCACTCACTCTCTGTGCTAACAAATACAGTCCCCAGGCAATCCAGTAGATTGCTGGTGCAACTTTATAGTCCCCTGTTGAAAATCAGATCAGGTTATGGTGATTTGGAATGCACAGTGAGTGTAGGCCAGTATTTATCCTGTGAAGTGAATGAAGGAGACAGCCGTAGATTTGATAACACGCAGAGTGTGTGCAGGAAGGGAGTGTGCCTACCTGGCTTAGAGACTCAAGTTTTCCAGCTGCTATACTGGGAGGAGCAAAGCAAAATAAAAAAATGCCTACATTTGCAGTCTAGAGTGATGTTTCCTCATTGCAAGGTTTTTTTTTTTTTTTGGTGGGATGTGGTTCTCATCCCATTGGAGGGAGCTCTTCCACCCCCTCCACCTGCCCTCAAATCCCCTTCCTCCCCCCTCCCTCCCCCATCTTGCCACACATCATTGCCCTGCTAAACGCTGACAATTGGTGACAAATGGACTGCACTGCACACTGTGCGTCGGTTGCCCCGGGAAACGGTGGCGGACTTGGGGCAGGGAAGGAGAGCAGAGGAGGAAGGGAGCGGGGAGTCCTTGCAGCAGCAAGGCGCCTGGCACAGGTGGCTGAAAATCAATACAGATCCGGCCTCTGATTGGGCCTGACAGCACAAGAGCAGTGGAGTGTGGGAATCCACTGAGTGCCACACACAGCTAAATTGGATGATGGAGGATAGGAGAACAGAGGAAGAGCAGAGGGGAGAGGGAGGGGTGAGGACACGTTATTCCACATTATCACAATGACATTTTGACAGGGTGACAAGGACACACTCCGAGCGCATGCTCACATAAGACAGGATAAATGAGAAAGACACTTTAACAGATGGCATCTGAACACTTACGCACAGCTCATATTTTGCATGTTTCTGTAGCTTGTTTAATTATAGTACATTCTCGAGGGAATTACACTGTCCAGGGTTAACAATGCAGCTGCTGACAGTGGCATGTTGAGCTATTAGGGGACTAAATGCTCTGGTTTAGTGCAAATAACAATGATTCATGCATGCATATACACTTGCACTTGCAGGCTTGCTTTCTGCCATGCACAAACTCACTCTTGCTGAGCTCGCAGTCACAGTTATTTCACCCGAGGCTGAGTGCGTGAAAAAGTGTGGCACTGTGGCCTCTGTGCCGCTGCTTGCCCTAAACATGTGACCAGCCGCTCCTGCAGGCCCAGAGAGGAGCAGCCAAATGAAAAGAGGAAATAAAACAAATGAGTCAGGAAACAAATAAATAAATAAATCAACAAAGAAGCAAGAAGAAATTCTTTCTAAAATATGTTAATCAATGCTTTTACTAGGTTGTCATCACCTCTGTCATGTCTTGGAAGAAGTTCGTTGGCAAGTGCACACAAACGATTGACGAAATTGTTTCAACACCATGAAGTATAAAACTCGTTTTCCCATTTTCCATTGTTTACTAACTTGAGCATAACTCATCAACAAATTTGTATGTGGAATAATTGTAATTTCCTCCAGAAGACAGATGCATCTGTCATATCAGTATCAGTGATACCACGATTTAGTGCAGAGAACAAACAGGAATATTCCTACAGAGAATAGAAGACAAGTGTCACGAGGAAAAGGATTTAATCAAACTTTTATGGCAAAGAATTGCCTTAAGAGGTTTTTGGCCTGTGCTCAAACTCTGATGTTTGTTCACCATGACTAAATATACCATTTTAAACAAATCTACAGACTGTACTTTCTGGCTGTGGATAAGTCGTTTGTGCAAAATTGAATCGATGCTGATTAACTGAGGCTTAAGCCAAAAGTTTCTTCATCACATAGTTGGAACCCACTCAGGGAGACCCCAGTCCACTGTCAGTCTATTTGACAGGGAGGAACATAGAGTAAGTGACATTCCCACCCTGCACCCCCTGGTGAAAGACCCCTCCCACATATGACAGTACAAATTAATCAAGATCCCAGACAAACCCTCACCCTTCATGCAACAAAAGGATTTTCCCCGGCCCTCTATGGCCTCACCAGGCAATTAAACTACATGTGCAAGTGTATGTGCACATGCTTATAGGCAGCTATATCAACAACTGCATCCCATGTCATAAATTCTTCCTCATGCATTAAACATGAGCAAATATCTGTGTCAAAACCAGCAATGCATATTTAGTGTTTGCTTTGTAAAAGTGCATGTGTGTGTTTGTACATGCATGTGGCGGAAAGTGTGTTTTGTGTGAAAAGGGGGGCACGGAGGGGCGCCGCGATCAGCTGTGTGCAGGTTGCCGTCTTTGAGGGGTGGCTGGGTGGGGGTTTGAGGACATGTCGGCCCTGTGTGTGGGAACCCCGCGCTCTTCACTTCTCATACATTGTTCTCCTGCTCCTACAAACCGTTAATGCCACAAAAGATGCTCAGCCTATTGTGGCCCGGGACAGCTGAGGGGGGAGGGCAATGGGGCGGAGGCAGGCAAAGGGAGGAGGGGTCTGGCTTAGCCTGAGCCTGGTATGGCTGCCTTGGCTACCTCCCCTCCTTTCCTCTCCTCTCCTCTTCTCTCCTGTCCTCTTCTGTCCTCTCTCCTCTCTGCTCCTCTGTCCTCTCCTCTTCTCTTCTTTCCTCTTCTCTCTCTTCACTCAGCTCTGCCACTTAGC